AACTCCGTGCTTACTCGATTTTCGGCATTCATTCTGACGCCGGATTCCGCTTTCGTTTTCCCGTGCTACTGAATGAATCTGTCTGGCTACATGGAGTACGCGTCTACTGAGCGGGGGGGGGGTCGTGTTGAAGAAGGCTATTGGGAAGTAGTCGAAACAGTTTCTACATTAGCTCCAGGGGCAGGTGCCTTCAGTCTGGCCGGAAAATAAAAATTTTTTTGAAATACTTATGTGGGCTACTCCATACTGAGCGCGTAGCGCAACAAGTTTCTTGCGGGTGCAGAAATCAGATTCAATGTTTGCAAGGGAGGGAAATCACCAAGATGCGTGAACATTCACTTAAGTTTTACACCCCCCCCCCCTCCCCCGGGAGCTTCTTTTCCGTGTAAAAAATTGGACTGCTTCTTGCAAAATGAACTGTCGCACCACATGCCCCCCCTTACGGATAAGATTTTCTTTCTGAAACTTAATAAAGATATAAAAATCAACAGAAGTTTTTGTTACAGACACTTTTGCTTCAAATGTGCGCCGTGCTTTCGGTTCCGCTATGTAATTACGGGGGTGATGGAATTAGGTATCTGATTTCAGAACCATTCTCTCACTTGAAGTTTTGTTTATCTCCAATGTGTGCGTCTTCCAATAAAAAATAAAATAATAAACAAATAAATAAATAATATTTCGATGAGGGCTTTGGTTACTCACTTTAGCTCGCTGTCGTCTTTGCTCTCGTCCAGCAAAATGCCAAAGCGATAATTGAACTGTTCGATTGGTTATCGATTGATTTCAAACTCTTCACGCAGTTTGTGTTTGTGTTTGTGTTTATTCTCTCGCCATTTAAATGCAGCGCTGTGACTGAAACCGCGCTTTGGGGGGGGGGCACACCTTTCCGGCTCCGTCGAAAGTTGCAGGTGGTTGTTTATTTGAATAAGACTTATTGAGACAACGAAGCGCTGCTATCGTCGCACTCACTATGTTGTGTGCAGGAAATAGATGGGCTTTCAAACACCTGTGCGATTCTGAAAGCAAATCAAGTGCATGGCGCATCGCCGTGAAGCTGATTGCCGCCTCCGCTTTGATTTTTGCCTACACAACCCCTTCCAAAGCTAACATTTATTTATTTAGAGAGACGGTGAAATTATTTTTATTTGCTTTCTTATTACCCTCGGAATGTACTTTTGAAAAGTGTACGCCAGCGCATGTGGACTAAGCAAACTGAATCGAGTTAGTCGCTTTTCTGAAACGGGTCTATTACGGGCAAAATTGATTTTTCTTCCAGAATTTTCTTCCCCTGGTTATTTCCATGGGCTCACTCATTCTTTTGCGACGAAGCGACCGAATTTCCCTGAAGGCAATGAAAATTTTCTCTTCAAAGTTCGCCTCACTTTAACGGTGCCATCTGTTTTATGGCGCATTGTGCAGAGTGCTTTTACAAGTGAAAAAAGGAAACCCGAAAAAATTGATCGATCGATGCTGCTTTGTTTAAAAGGGTGGTTCCTTGTTGAAGAGTTCTCATGTACTCAATTATTTTTGGACTGCAAAGGTCGATGGGTGAACGGCTCAGGGTGCAAGGTTTAAAATTGATTTCTAGAAGAGTTCTGGCTCGGAAATCGATTGGACAAACAAAGCTATGGCGGAAGATAGTTTAAAATAGATGCTGGCAAAAAATGGAACGGGTTTAAAATATCTCCAGGGTGCGCCATGTGCTTCTTGTCATTGCCAGTAATGTAAGCTCGATTGGAAGGTCAAGCTTCCACAGTTGTCATTCGAACACTCACAAAAGACCTACTCAATTCACTAAATTTAGGCCATTTAGGCTTTCAGGCATTTGACCCTCGTCACCCGGGTTAGGCGCGAAGTATATGCCAAGAAGGGCGGACAAGCCCCTCATGGGACGAACAACAAGGTTCCCCATTCAGGAAGAGCTTCCCAAAACATCTGGGCTTTGTCAGGGTAACTTTTCGATCAACCTGGAAGGTAGTATTCGGAAAATAACCAGGGTTTTTCTCAAGAAATGCGTCTCTGGGACAAGAGTCAGCCGTGAGCCTTGGAAAACTCCGCAATGCTGATCTAGTCATTCTAGGATTCCTCGAACCTCCATAGTCGCCCGATTGAAAAACTCTGTACACTCACAATCCGACCGCATGTGGGCGAAGGTCGTGTTTTTCAGCGGTGCTGGCGAGGCTGGGAATACGTCGCCTTTCGCTGAAGTAGTTGAAAACTTCGCAACATGTGCCGTAACGCCTCCCATTCTCCAAGCCCGGCCACATTTCCCTTTCACCCTTTTCCCTCATCCTTGCCACAACAACAGCTAGGCAGCTCTTCCTGCGCCGGCCCTCGCGCGTGACCACATGTACCTGACTACGTGGTGACTTGCGGTGACCGCGCACGGGTTCATCAAGAAGCGTACGGCTCCAGCCGGGAGAGGGAGACTTTATTTCAGGATTGAGGACTTCACATCTCCTCGCCTATGGTTATCTCGCAATCCACCCTGTAACCTGCTGGGTAGACCTTGCTTAATTAGGTGTGCTGAGTGCTGACCTCACTCCAACATATCGCTCTGTCATGCGCAGTATTGATTATCAAGTCTTTCTTTACTATATTCACGGAAACAAACCAAAGTTCAATTTATGCAAATTTTTAGCATAGTTAACAAAAAATTCAGATTGTACAGATGTATTAGTGACATTTCTCGACATCCTACTGCAGAGTCGTTTCTATCTCTTCTATGAGATGCCCGTTTTGGCAAACACACTTTCATAAATTATATTTGCCTGTCGGGAAAGTTGGGCGAAACTTTTAATTTCGTAAGTTGAAACTTCAGTTGGGGGGGGGGGCACTCCATTGCTAACTTATCCGTAGTACTAGAGAGCATTCATTTGTGCTATCCAACGCTATGATAAGATAATAAGTAAACGATTCATTTTAAGCGTACTTTTGATAAGGATCGGTGGATGCCCTCCGTTCCACACATCCTGCCCACATGCTATCCACTTTTCTACCCAGGTCATCCACCCTGGAGCTCCTCCACCCCTAGACCTAGGCAGAGGTGTTCATTATCCGTGTTCATTATCCTTGGCAGGACCGTTTCCATGTACCCTTGCAGGCGGAATTGTGAGGACATCTTGGGACTTCTTCCACATTACAGCGATATACTATCAGATGAGCCGATTACGTGCCATGAGTGCTCTCATCCTTATCTTGAGCATTGGAGAAACAATGGAGTGCCCCCCCCCCCAAACTGGAGTTTCACCTTTCGTAGCTGTTCTGCGTGGAAAACGGCTTGCACTGCGAGTGCTGTTAGCTGAAAATTAGTTATTCTTGAGCTCCCAATTTTTATCCATTTTTTCTGATATTTTGTTTCCTCCAACCGCTACTGTATAAATGAATTTATTACCAATATCAATATATATATCCTCTATAATGAGTCTGTCGGAGTTGGGTCAGCACTCAGCTCAGCTAATTAAGCGAGGTCCACCCAGAGGCAGGTTACAGGGTGGTGCGAGATAACCACGGCGAGGAGGTGTGAAAGGTCAATCCTGACTAAAGGTGCACACCCCGCTCCGACCCGAGGGGGGACACCACCAGCCGTGTGGTGCTTCCCGATGGGGTGGCAGTAGTGGCCAACGTCGCCGTCGTCGTCGTCGTCTTCGTAGACATCGTCATCGTGCTTGCGCGCGCCAACGTTGTAAAGGAGTTGTTCACATTTGCACAACGGCGAGAGAGTCCAGCCAGATGTGTCCAAACGCGGAGAGTGCCGCGCCGACAAAACACATCCTCCCTGTCCCCGAGCCTTTTTACACTACGGGGGGTGTAGAGCTCGGGTGTTGTGTGCTTGCGCAGTGTGTCTCCACACATCCCGTGCACTCTGTCTCGCTCTAGCTTGGTGCCTCTCTGGAGCGCAGCGTGGTTGGGATGCTGCTGCTGCTGCTGCTGGCTGCTGGGGCTGTGGCTGTGGTTGATGTGGCGCTGCTGCCGGCAATCCACTCTGCTCTCGGATCATTCATCCCCATTGCTCTTTTTCCGTCCCTTCATCACACTTCACAAACGCCTACGCTCACCTATCGATCCATTCGACCTGCTTTCTGGTCCCCTTATTATAGTTTTGTTGATTTTTTCTTTGGAAATATCAGATGATGTCATAATTTGCTTTGAAAATGCCACAGTTCTCTCTTAGCTTCTTTAGGGCGCTTGAGAAACGCCTCGTTCATTTCTCACCTTCGTCTCCTTCTGATTTCCATCGTTTTAAAGTACATAAGATTTAGTATACAACATCAAGAAGAAATGGAATAAACCAGGCGCGCTTGGCTCCGCCCACTTCAATTTTTTCGCCATGTCTTTCGCCGGGGCGACGAAAATTGCGTGGTCATGAATATTAATGCCGCCCATTCCTCTTCTTCACTTTTGGTTATTGTGCCATATATCGCTTCTAAAACACCTAAATTTCAATCGATTTCATGATTGTTCGGCGCAATCTACCTCGGGGGGGGCAGCATAAAGGCACTCAGCGCTAAGGACGAGAGGGGCGAATTTGGGATTCACGCCTAGGATTCTTTTCTCCTCCAAGGCTTAATCCCAAAACTAATAAGCGCTTCCTTGAATTTGACGCAATGTTGAGGGCTGCCCCCCCCCCCGGCCGCCTTATGTTTCGATTATACTTCTGTAGATCATTAAATGTTTCGATCCGCGATGATTATTGGATTTGATGAGAGTGCAGAGAAGCAGAGTGCATTTGTCAATAGACATGTTAACACATTAATCGACATTAGTCGCTGGAATGTTTACGCAAGCTGTGCGCAGTTTTTTCTAGGTGCCATTCTTTTCGCTCATTTTTCCGTGTAGCAGTTTATATCCATCATGTCATTGTGATTCCTATATTTATCCAAATGTCATTTTTGCCACGCCCCCTTTTAATGTTTTTGCTCGTGAGCGTCTATTTTAAGCTCATATTGTTCCAGTAATGAACTCGTAATTGGCCCAGCCATACACACAGACATCACATCATGCCTGTATTTCACACTAAAACGATCGAGAATATTCTCGAGCCGGTGGCTCAGCAGGTACGAACTCCTCAACTTTCTTCTTCGACTCGTTTTTTTTCGTTTTTCGTTTTCCGATTTCCGATTTTCCCACGCTTCTTCGACTAATCTGTTCGTTAGCTTTTCTATGTCCACACTAACCGCTTTTTTCTGTGATAGCATGTGTCTATATGTTTGTTGATGTGTGTCCATATGGTATAGGTGTGTTTATGATTGCCGTTGTGGTTATATGACCTGACTGGACCCAACGTCAGTTATCTTCGCCTCGGATCTGGCGCATTTCAACCCCCCACCGAGCCTTGAAGTGTTTCTTTATGTCTCCGCAATTCAAGCGGCGGGCCATAGAGCAATGCTGGCTGTGGCTGTGGGGCGCGTGGGGCTCACCACTTTACTACACGATATATTTAGGAGGAAGCCGCCCGCACGGCTATCCTCGTACCTTGGAATCGACGCCGATTTATATCGGGCTCTGATCGCTAGCAAACTAATCGATATATCGATTTGAAGTGGATACGGTAAACGGGTTAATGACGGACGGGTCTTAGCGGTTTTCCAGGGGTGCGCCATGCATCCAACTTCCGGTCAAAAAGTAGTTCCCTGTGGATAAGATTGCTTTCATTCTTGGGGAAAGAATCACCCTTATCCATCCATCTTTTTGCTCAACAGTGGGTTTCTAGCAAGTTCTTGCTTCATTCCAAAAACAGGACATTAATTTCCAATTTTAAAAAATGATTAATTTGATTAAATTTCACCGGAATTGTTGAGTTGACACCCGAAAGTTGATCGCCTTGGAAAGAGAAATCTCATCGTACAGCAATGTTTGACTGACCGTTCCTGGTTGACAAGGTCGTCATGTTCCACCATCGAACCGGTTCGCTGGAATTCGCTCCCAAAGAAAGGTGTTCGTGGCTGTATCAGGCATTCACGGATCAATCACAAGTTCTTAATTCCAGTGAAAATCGATTAATCGATAAATCGATTCTGCTGGATCTGGTGTGAAGAAGCCCGGTGAGAGATTGGTTGTGAGTTCTGGGAAACAAAAAGCGCTGGCTGCTTTGGCGCTTCGTGAAGTGGATGGCACTATGTTTTCAAATTCCCATGGAGCGGATCGATTTTTGAGATTTCGGGGGAAATGTCTTTGAAACAACTTTTTTTCAAGGGGAATTCCTTAGGTTATTTTGTCGACCACTCGGCCTCCATCTCCCATTTCAGGCTGGCCTTTTATAATATTTCTCAGCTGCTTTTCTCGGCTGCAAATTGTCATGCTGTTTTTTTGAATTGCTCAATCTTCAAAAAAATCAATCGATAATCGATTTTTTTCGGACAGTCCCTGAATGATTACTCTCAAAACGTTTTTTTCGAATTTTTCTCTCAGGGCTTTTGTAGATTAGTCTGTTTTTATGATTTCTGCGTACTTTTTGGATTATTTTTTGCAGAATTAATTTTTAATATGATCTTACTGTGCTCGCCAATAGTTTTATCAGGAACATTTGATCGATAAAATCGATTTTGGAGTTTTTCGAAACTTCCACTTTTTACTAATTCCATGTCTGATTGTAAAGCCATCACCATTTGATTTTGATTGAATGAACTCCAAAGGAGAAAAAAACTAATTTAGTCACGGTTCGAACTTCAAAGAAATCAATATTTCTACCGTAGCCCGATAGCGGATCGATAATTCTACTCATTCTATTCGTGATGGTGTGTTTGTGAGTGTGTGCGTGTGTTTGAAGTGGTGGGTGAGAGTTGCAAACAGAACGCGCTAGTGCGCATCCACGATTAGGATTCCAGCGCGAGACAACTAGATTAGCAGCAATTTGAAAGAGGAGCAGAAAACTGTCGGAAAAATCTCCTTGTCGGATCAATCGATGTCGATTATCGATCGGTTTTCACCATAGTATCAGGGGTCCAGTTTTCGCCTGATCTCAAATACCTAGTTATTTAACACCTGATCGGGAATCGGTATCGTATGTTGTTCTCCCCAAAATCAACGGGATAATACCGGATTACCGATAACCCGGATTACGGTAATCCTACCAATAAAAAGGATTCATGCCCGAAGTTGTGCCATCATGTAGATTGAAAGCTTCGAACTTCCATTTTGAAACCCATATAGTGAGCTCTTAACAGCGCGAAAAAAAAGTTAGAATTACTTGAAAATTAAGTATTGTGAAGCCTAGAGTACGATATCGATCAACCTCCACTTGAGATGCGCCATGCATCTCGCTTTCGTTCAAAATTGCAATGGCATTTGCACGCATTAGGCCTACTTAATGACATCTAGGGCCATTGAATACGAGCTGTTGTTTTTGTTCTGCCAGACTAGTAGGGTACAATTTAAGCGGCCCTGAATGGATGAAAGGCTTTGTTGGCGTGGGGTGGACTCACGTCTTTGCGTGGACACTGCGCCCTTACAACTACACTACTTGTCATTGAACATAGTGAATCAACTATTGAAATAACCATAAACATAACCGTGATAACCATATAAAACAATAATAATAATTATTTTTTTATAAAGTAAAGAATAAAATATGATTAGTAATACACATTACAGTATAATTTGCATTCCTACACATCTTGTCCCGATTGCTCAGGCGCATCACGAGTGTAAGATAAATAAAAAAATAAAATAGTAGATAAATAAATAAGTAAATAAATAAACAAATAAATAATTAAACAAATAAATAAGTAAATTCGTATAACTTCGTATAATGTATGCTATACGAAGTTATGTTATAAGCTCTATATAAGTTCTGATTATGATCGATTAATACCCAGAATCCTAACTCAAATACTTTTAATTCATCTATTTTTCTCATGAAAGGACATTAGCGTTGCTGACGGGATGTTAGCGTCCGTAAATGCTTATAGCTTGCTAATTCCAACCTACACCCTTATCCACCATCCGGGCATTGAGCCGACGTATTTGCTCAGAAACCTTTTTTGGTTAACTGTTCGTCAGGGTTACCAGAGGGTAATGATCCATTCTCAATCCATTCTACCAATCTCTAAAGAGGAGGGGGGGCGGAGAAGAAGCAAAGCAGCCCGTTTGGCGTTTCTGCTAGGGCCGTATGCTGAATGTTGAGCATATGGATGGAGGGGATGAGGTCCCCAACGTCGACTGACTTCTTCAACTCAGTCCTTTGAAACTGCCTCCATATTGTGCCTTACTTCTAAGCACAAGCATTAAGAGAGACGACCTGTGAGAATGCGCATGCCACTCTCTCTTCTCTAAGGCTTAGTCCTGGGCCGTAAGCAAATCAGCCTTTTTCGAAGCTGCCTTGGACCTAGCTGCACCACTTCGTCAATGACTCTCCTACCGTACCGACTGAGTTCAAGTAGTCCGTCGAGCTCGGGGACCCCATCTCCTCCCCAACATTCAGGTACAGCCCCAGCAGAAAGGCCAAAAGGGCTGGTTTGCTTACTCGGGGCGGAGTGACGCAGGTATACCTGAATGTTCTCAATTTCCATAACGGGGAAGAATGTTTAAGAAAACTCTTCTCAAACGATATGTCCGATTTACTTTCTTGAGTATCTATCCGAAACGAGTTTGTGCTCCCTAATTAGACCGTTGTCACCAATACCTTTCCAGAAAATCAATTCTGGGTCCAATGTTTGTTCAACAGGTTTTCCTTGTGATTCCGAATGGGGAAATATAAACTACACGTTGAAAATTGTCGACGCAAACGCTTGTAAATATGGATAAAAGATGCTTTAATTATTTTAGATCTTTAACAACAAAATCCAATGCCAATCCAGCCTTCCCTCATGCGTTACCGTACACTTTTCATGAGCCACAGTACCGGCCTAGATTCTTTTTTCACAAGGGGAAGCGGGCGAGAAAAGTAATTTTGCTCAGGCGACTACATCAGCAAACTGCCCACTGAATTGCGCCGTTATGAATTTCAGGCAAAATATTCCTTATGATTACTCCTTTGAGATCCACCTTCTCCTCGTATTGCTATCTGAACAAGTTTTACAAATGGGCAGCATAGACCTTCAGATTCATGGAAGCTCAGAGTATTAATTCTCAGGTTTTCCTTTCTACAAATGGCCTCATCTCTGCGGTGCCAGTCCGGACTGTTTATGCCAACAAGTGTGAGGATTATTAGGATTCTAGGCAAGGATTGGCCATGTGGCATGTGAAAAAGCAACTTTGTTCATGGACTGCGAATGAAAATCCTGGCCGAAGCTCATCTAGACGAAGCGCCCTTTTCATATCTGAGAGATCAGATCTTAAACGGTCATCTGGGAGAGACTCTGATCTGGTCCAGTACTTCTAATAAATCACTGTGCAAGGCAAGTACGTATCCATAAAACACCACTTTTGAGTGGATAATTTTAATGTTTCGTACATTATAAAAGTTAAGTTGGGATATCGTTCACCTTTGGATACGCCGCGCATTATCTAAAGACATGACGAGATAAGCTTTTAACTAGTCGTTCGATGATATAGCATATCCACTTGCTTTGTTCTTAAGCCTTTTACGACGTTTGACCTGACGGCGGCCACACTTTCACTCGGAGCAAGACTCGTCGAGCTCGTTTTTATGTGGCTTGTTGGCACTTTTATGATCAAAACTTCTTGATATACATTGTGGATCCGCCAAGACAATGAGTTTAATCAATTATATATGAAGTTGATTGAGGTTTAAGACATATTGATGAAAAAATTCAGAAAAAAACCCAACGTGAATCGACGACAGTCCGCTCGTCAAAGAGTTAAAAACTGTTCGATGAAATCGGAATGAGTTGGCAAGAAGAGAGTGATGAAGAGAAATGGCATCAAAAGGTTAAAGAGTCACTTTTCCTCGTAATTTCAAGAATATTTGGTCTTCTGCAGCTCGTGGTTCATTGGAGGCCGATTACTAGCCATACAACCCAGATGGACCATGTGAGCAGTTGCTTCCGGGAGTTAAGCTGGCTCCTTAGAGTTGACGCATGTAGCTGAGCCTCCCTAAACCGCTTAATTGCCATTGCTATAAAGATTGAGCACTTATGGCTACCGTTCAATGATCTATTTTCTTGCCCTGCTCTTGACATTGTAAATTGTGTCTCTGAAGCTGATCACGGTGACTTCATTTGTTCTAAAAATCAATAGTACAGCTTTTTTTGATGAATTTTGAAACCACTAGTTATCAGTAGCAGAGCTATAGTAAGAGATAAAGCGCAAGATGCCAAGCAATCGATTTTTTGGTGTGCGCCGTGCAGAGGTGTATCTATCAAAATTGTTGGGCCTTTGAAGGCGAATTCGGCTTATACAGTGGGTTTCTTGACTTAATCGAGGTGCAGGGACCATTTTAATCTTCTCAGAGGTATTGGCACCAACTCGACGTCCCTGGATGGGGATAGGCGTCCCCGGTCCCTCGGGCTTCGATCCGCGGGGCCTGCACCGGGTCGCAGCGCCATGTGGACGCGCAGCCCTAATTCTGCCCACAAGTCGGAATTATAACTTCTGAATTTACGCTAAAACAAAAGCCCTAATTATAGCTCATTCTTTCGAGAGCGTGAGTGATTCGGTAGGAGGACGTTCCGAGTCACTGGAACTCTCGCCCGAAGTGTCGTCAGCGCCACTCTTAACCGCTTTTCTTATGTCTCTCATGATATTTCCCCGTGTGAAACCGGTTTTGTCACTAGGGCGCCAGGACCAGTGATTTAACGAAAAACTCGACGACAATCTGCACTGTTCGGGATCTCCAAACGACAAAAGTACGAGCCACTGGTGGTGCAAACCCGTGCGACCGTCCATATGCTTCCTAGTTCAGCGTTCTATGAGACGAACTGTTCCGCACCGTTCCCTGCTCACGTACCATTTGGTGGACCGCCGATGTAAAAAGTGCAACTTTTGTTCCTGCTCGAAGCTCAGAACAACCTTCCGAAGACTGGTGAGATCTCAGCCAAAGTAAGGGAGAGGTTCAGGATTCAGTTTTTGCTTGGTCCAGGTTTTCTTTTGCGCTGGCCTCATTTCCGTTGCGAACACGTTATACTCCTCTCAGTTCGTTACTGGCTGATATTAGGCCAGCGTGTTTCGATCTTGCCAACCCAAAACAAACCTAGGAAGCAATAATTCCAGTGCTAACTTATCCCATGATCCAAATAGAGGGTATTGACTTCCACAGCATTTTGGCCGCTATCTATTAAGTCGAATTTCCCGTGGACAAAATCCCGCTCAGCTGTAAGAGAGCCATGGCCGCCGAGTCGGAGAAGCAGCGCGAAGCCTTGTGCAAAATTCTTAGGCTTTCAAGGGAGCCTTTTTTGATGCATGGCTCGATCATGCAACGTTGGTGTCCATGATATGATCCTTTTCTGCTGCTGAACCTCACACTTCAGTTTCTTTTCCTGCATTACTCCTCTTTCCATTCAATTTTTTGGTCGGGCTCCTACCTTTTCCGACCATAACAATTTTGCTTACGTACTCTTCAAAATTTCTCAGCTTATCGGTTCATTGCCCTTTCGGGCTCCGTGCCAAAAAAACTGCAAAAACTTCCATGCCAAGAAACTGCTTTATTGATATTTAGGCCCATCTTGGTGACATTTCTTAGGAAAAGGATGAATGTCAGATTGTGACCGCGGCTGCGGCTAGTCAACCCAAAGTAGCTGTGATCGAAAAAAAAACTGGGCAGTCGCTAATAATCAAAAACCCGCAATCGAGCCGAAATTTTATCGGGTACTGCATAACCTATTACTTACTTAATTTACCTCCCGATTAGCCGAACGGACACAAATAATTTCAGGATTCAGACCCACAGATCAGCTGAGATGCACCACAGCTCATTACTCCAGCCCGATTGTGGCGCAGGTCTTTGACATCATGTAAATCGCGAGCCGTTTCAGGCGCTAGTCAATCTTTGACATTCTCGAAGAGACCCTTGGCAGTCCTGACCCTACCGGATGTTATGGGCAAGGTGAAATTTCCAGTGGAATGAAAACGCCTTCAACTTCTTACCCTCACTAACGTCGCTGCGGAATTCACTTGATTTTTCTCCCTACAGAGCTTTTTTCTCCGTCCAATGAATGCGCACTGTTTCCTGTTTGTGTGTGCTCTGTTGCATGTTCACCTTATTGTCTGGGCTCAGCGTCAATATTCCGTCCGGCCGATCAGGCTAAGGGAGTTCCGTACATCCATTATTTTTCAGTGGAGGTGGTCATAAACATTCTTTGACTATGAGTGCTTAATGTTTACGAAAAGGGTGCGCAGATTCTAGGAGACATTCTCAAAAGTTCGGGAAAATTTTTATCAAATCTCAGGAATATGTTGAAGTTTTGGCAAATTTTGCCGTTTTAACAGTTCTATATATTTCCTCCCTTCCCTCCCACCAACGTGTGTCTCTCCTAGCTCGATACCAAACTGGCCTCACACCACGGTTGACTGTCTGAGGCAGCCCTCTCGTCGCGTGGCCTTTTGTGGCCAACTTTGTCTCTGTGCAGCAAATGTCCAGTTCTCAGTGTCGCTTTTAGTTGCACTACGTGTTAGCTGTTGCTGAACGTAACGCTGGTGAAGATGGGGAACCGATCTCGACTCGATCGTTGTCGAGGGCCAGTAGCCGTCGGTCATTGCCCGAATTCATCTATCCGGACACCATCAAACAACGAGTGACCGAGGAAGACTGCCCTGTCTGTCAGATCATGTTGCCCAAAGGACGAGGCGGATGTGTGCGTGTGTTGTTGATGTTGTTGTGTTTGTCAACATTTTTTGGCTCAGCAGGTTCGCAGAAGTCGCGCATGAATTCCGCGGCTGGCTTTATTTGTGCAATTTTGGGTTCCTAAATGTGATCTTTTGTTTAGAAGGGCCGATTGCTTATGCTCCTATTGTTGTCCTACCAGCTTCAATGCCGAAAACGCCTAGCTTGCCCGGTTTTGGTTTACCGCACAAAAGGGTCAAATGTTTTAAAGGCGTACTGTTGTTGCAGGTGTCCCGGTTGGTGATTCTTCATGAAGAAGCCGAAGATGGAAATGCGATGCCTGATCTCACACGTCCCGTCGGGGCTGTGTCCAGAGCGGTCGACAATCTCATTAAGGTGCGTTTTCTTTGTTATGGACGTAATGTATTCTAATGATTATATCCTTCTAATTGGCTTCGCAGACCGCATTTCAAGTGAAAAACGCCAGTCGAGAGGCACCGGTTTCAAAAACTGCGCGTGTGCCGTTCAAGATTGCCGTCACGCTCTAAAAATGAATAATCTGTGTGCAGGTTAGTTTTGTGCGGGTTTACGGAGTAGAAACCGGTACGGAAGGTTCTCCAACTGAACTGGCAGCCTATCTATATACAATAGTCAAGCCTTAGTATGTTGCATTTACCCCGGCATCATAAAAATTGCCTGGAAACTGGGATATCTTTCTCATACCAGCTCGGCGGCTGTTGGCCGCATGATCGACCTATACGGCTACTCTAAAGACGGCTGAAATATGAAGTGCGATCAAAAAGAGAAGTTTTTGATCATATTCACACAATTTAAGTGGTTTCTCTTACGGCTAAAACTCTTTTTGTGCTAGTTGTCCAGTCTCGTTTCATTGGGTACAACAGGCAAAATTGGGCATGGGCTCGAACCCTTGAAAATCGCTCATAAGCTACGGTAATGGAGGGTGGAGAGGGATTATCTCAGGGAGAAATGGTGGCACGATTAGGTGAAAAAACGTGCTCGATGACGCTTCCTGTCAGCGATCATCAGTAGCGGTTGTCACCTCCACACACCCTGGCCTCAGTTTAGCCCTTCCCATGGCCTCACCCTTTATCGGTGTGAGCGCTGTACCATTATGCCCAGGTAGTTACGGATTCCCGGTCGGAAAAAACGCACATATCTAGTGGCACACGAACAAACGCACTAACCATCAGTGGCTTTTATCCTTTAGAAAGTTCTAGCAAAGCTCAAGGTTCTCTTTGCAAAACAACAAAAGTTCCAAAATAGTGCTAGTTGTCCGGTTCCGGTCAACAGCTGCGACGTATAGATGTGTCATCGCCACGTATATCGAAAGTTTCAATTACATTTGTTTGCTCGCGAGCCGATCGTTCAACATTCGGCTCTTTATGCTCGTATTTGCCCAAGAGCCGACGAATAGTACCAATTAGAACGGGCTCATGATCAGTAAGAGAAGCACGACAGCTGCCCTTAGACCTTACGCCAACTTCCATTCGGGTAAATGATGTCATCAGCAATCCAAAATTAGGTCTCTGCTGTTAAGATTCTCGTTTTGCAAAGGAGTATCGGCGCAGCGCTAACGGGGCCGTGCCCATGCGGTCAGCGCCTCTGGACGTCCGCTGATAGGTAAAGGAAATCAACGGGCAGGGCAGGGGTTCCATTTCTCAAGGTTCTGGGCCATTTTCTCATATACTTTTTCTTCATCCACTGACCCCTCTACCTGACTCTGACCGTTTAGCAGAGAGAGCGTTAGCGTTAAAGAGGGCAGCACCTATGAGAGTCACATTAGTGGGAAATCAAGGGGCAAGGCAGGGGTTGCATTTCTCAGGATCTGGACTATTTCTCATGATTTTTTCTTCATTCATGCGCCACTGACCCCTCTACCTTCATTTTGATGGACTCTCTTTACAATGTGACGTCTGCCTTCGAAGGAGTAATAGTGCCTTCTTTTCCCCTGACTGTTACGGGTATATCAGCGTATAACCCACTGGAGTCGGTATAGGTCATTGTCAGGGGCGCTCACGCGAGAGCAATCCTAGTGGGGGCTACGGGCAGGCTGAAAGTCTTGGATAGAAAAAGGAATTGCAAAGGGCGAAATGGGACTGTGTGCCACTCCGTGAGGCGAGCCAAATGGTTTAAAAGATGTCGCGACGTTGCCCAAACAGGTAGAATCTTGTACTGGTACTCGCATCAGATGCGACCCGCACGCTTAATTGAATACGCCATACGCTTTCGGTGTGCTCGCTGTTCTAGAATAGTCAAGAACTCCCCTGCGGCGTCCGCCATTCGATTAAAAGGCACGACAACCCTTCTTCAATCTTATAACTGAACATCATCCACTATGTGTTTGGCTCTGACCAAATCGACGCTCTCGGCGCCCACCCTCATCCCCAACCATCTCTTTCTCGACTTAAGCATTCGCGAGAGCGTTCATGAACAGAACGTGATCAAGCACTATGTCCTTATATGAATGGGCCAGTTTTGAGAAGCTTCGCAAACTCCTTCACGGTACCTGGAAGCAACCAGTTCCCGTAGCAGCTGGCACCTGGCCACAGAAGATGGCGTTGGCTACGGCGGGCGGCGACCACAGGTGTTCGACGTGGGTGGGAGTATGGGTTGTGGGGCGGCCCGCTCGCCCCCACACCCCGCCACATGTCACTCAGTGTTTTCAAAGCGATCTGACGCTATCAAACAAATGGACGACAGGGGAAATCCTGGTTGTTCTTCGTTGTGTTACAAGGGGAAAAAGCGGAAAGCGCCTGCCTCGGGAGCTGTAAAGGGTTAAGTGCGACGCAGGGGGGGAGGTCAGGTCGGGTGAATCCCAATAAGTCGGGTCTACAAGCTGAGAAAAGGTGATACTCGCTCCGAACTAGTGCTCCTCAAATGTCTTTATCGAGATTTTCGATCAGTCCTTTAAAAGGAAGCACCCTGGCGCACGAGGGAGGCAGTTTTTCTCCCACATGAGAATCAGCCAAGTCTGGAGCACGTTGAGCAGTAGTAAGCAGATTTGCAATCGACTGCCCCAACGCTCCTTCCATCTAAGCCTCCTTCACCATGCGGTCCATTACGGCTTGGCCGGCTCTACGGGTTGTGAGAATTGTTACTTTGATGAAAGAGAAACTGACTTCACCCCATTCGCAGGACGTTAAGTAGGTACTGGAGACCAGAGTCGAAGAATTTCGGGGTCAGCATAACCCTGCTCTACCTTGGAAGATATTCCTACCCCCATTTGGGCATTTCATGGTAACAACCGATGCCCATATTTCATGCCTACCATCATTCTTCGAAATTTTTGCTAAAAAAAATCCGTTGAACGGGTGGGGAGTGAGGGAGACCCTTATAACTGTTGATCTGACAAAAAACGAAAGCTCAGGAATTTCTGGAAAGCTCTCCCGCTTTCCGGGTTTTCTCAACGTCTTCCGAAAATGCTTCCACAAAATTCGACTTCCTTCCAAAAATCACAATACCAAAGTAAAGGTAGATTCCCACCGGTGTACCCAGGTGTTCCGGGTAGAATATGGGAGCTTCTCGTACTGAACCGAGTTACTCCAGCTACCCTCTTGAGCCTCCAGAATGAGACCCTTGGCCACAGCAGTCCGTGTAGAGTTTCACATGTTGCGCGCAAGATGACCAGACCGGAAGCCGCCCACTGACTAGCGCCATTTTCCTCTTTATACGTCGTTTATTTGCACGTGCGCAAGACGCTGACGAGTAGTAAACGCGCGAGACTATCCGAACCGTAATGCCCTCAGTCAACAAGCCTAACTGGACTGGCTGCTTGGGCGGTTAGTGCATCGACTGCCAGCCACCATCACCACCCGGTTGGCGATCGGGTCGATGCAACACCAGCGGCAGGAGTTTCACCAAGAGTCCTACTCAAGGCGCCAGTATCTGCAACGTTCGTACTCATACCAGGTGAGCATGAGTTCTAATTCTTTCGTCAGTTCAGGTCGGCTACGATACCTGCCATTCGTCCGATGACCAGATTCTCCAACAGGACATGCCGCCGGCGTTGCAGAGAGTCGAAACCAGCTCTCGACTTCTCGAAGACGCTTGTCACATGCTCAAGGTTTTAACAACTGAGACGAAGGTGCTGTACAGTACTACCTGAAACTACCGTATTCTAGGGTGACCCGTTTTCGGTGCCGGCCCGGAAGAAGCTCATCGATGGCGCTCGGGGTATTCTACAAGGAACCAGCGCCCTACTGCTGTGTTTCGATGAGTCAGAGGTGAGTGAGTCAGACTTTTGAAAGGGCCTACTGCCCTACACGGAACAGGAGCCACATGATTCATTTATGTGGGTGGCAACTTCCCGAAGAAAATTCAATTTTAGTTGTCGTGGAAAATTTTAGTGGACCTCGCAATTATCATGCAGTATTGAAAGTTATCAAGCGAAAAAAGCGTTTGTTGATGCGCCATGCACCTGTTCATCCTAACTTAATTGGAAGGATCATGTAATTCATACTTATATTGTTCAGGTTCGAAAAATCATTCGTGGATGCCGCAAAGTGCTCGACTATCTTGCCGTAGCGGAAGTTATCGAGAGCATTGACGATTTAGCGCAGTTTGTCAAGGTTCGCTATAATTCGAAAATTTACACGGTTGTATCGATTTTTATCTTTAAATATCTCGACTCGGAGCTAACCTACCCTACACTTAACCATAAAAAAACATCTAGCCTGAATAAAGGGGTGAGAAGGGTTGTAATCTTAAGCTGTTCGCTTTCAAGAACAATCCGGGTTATTTCGGTCCAATCATGCCCATGCCACGAGCTCGGTTCGGATTTTGAATACCTTTTTGTCCAGGGGTTTCAGGAGTATTCCTGCGTACATGGGAATTGGTAAGTAATCGATTTGAGTGAACAAAAGGGGCAGGCTTCTGCGGCTCAGCTCGCCTTCGCTCATAGTGGCTAAGATCTACTGAGGGCAATGGATTATACGATATCACGAGGAAGAGTTGTCCGCTCCCTCGTCCATCATACTTGGACTTTTGGATGGCTCGCTCACTGCACTTTTTTTTACTGTAGTACTGTAAATTTAGCCATTTCAAGCCGAACAAAAGCAAACTTGATGGAGGACTATTGAATGATCTGCTTGACCTTCTCCTGGTGTTTAAAATCAACGTTACACTGCGTATTTGTGACATGTGTTTCTTGGCCCCACACTTCATTGCTCATCGGATCGGATTGCGCTGCGATGCTCCCAAGTCTAAAGTCCCAGGGAATGATTTGGCTGAAGCTACAATCATGACGTTTCGACCTATAAACAGGAAAATGGAGGGGAATAGTTACAGTTCTATTTCGCCCTCAAAAAGGGGTTCGGTACAATACGATGAGCAGACCTTGCGTTATCAGTAAGGAAAGACTTGAAGGCATGCTTGTCGCGGATCGAATTTATTCTATTTGCTGGTAAGCGAAAATTGAGACACGAATTGCCAACGAAGGCGCGCTAGTGGGGCACTTGGAATTAACCCTGTTGATTTTCCTTGGGGGGAAAGTGGTCGTGATAGACGGACGAGAAAAGGGAAACCAGCGTAAGAAAAAGATAGAAAGTGAAACAAAAAATAAGTAGGAATTCAGTATGTTTTCAAGTTATCAATTGTCACAAGAGCTGCCTATATGGGCAATAGAGCACTCTTTGCCCCAAAGGGGAATTGACTATATATCTCATCATCCTTGTGACAACTTTTGCAGGGCGAATTGCTTGCCTAAAAACAGCAATAAAGGATAAAGGATAAAGCATTTGCCGTTGATCAATCCCTTTTTGGGCACGCATTCTACTTCCATTTGTACATTCGTAGTGGCGTTTGAATGCGATGTGGCCTATACAATGACTTGCGGGGGCCAGCCGATGTTCAAGTCAGTGTTTTTATCCTCCCAGACAAGTCTGGTACCAATTAACCGACCCCGGAGGGATGGAAGGCTTGGTTGGCCCGGGCGACTCACGACCCAGGATTTGATCCCGGACCGCTCGCGTGGTAAGCGTGCCACTTGCCACTACACCACTTCCGCCCAGAAAATCAATTTATTATCCATTGGATGTTAAGAACGGATTGTGTTACCACTGCGGCAATAGAGGATTGAGCTTCTGGCTTTGATCAGTCGTCTGCGGCGCGCCACGGTATTCCATTTCGTTTTAGGATATAGCAGCGCCTTGACTGATGTGACATCGGAAATGTTCTTTCCTTCCTGAGACGAGTCTGCTGGTGAACTTGAGCTATCCCTGAAAAATTTTTACGCATGGGAGCGGTTCCTTTTGTTGAAAAGACTGAGTAGATGCACCCATTGAAACCGGTAGTTTTACTGCTTTCGAGAATATGTTTAACAAGACCATTCTTATTAAAGAATAATTTTTCTTCGGTATAACCAAATATAAGCTATTTTCAGGACATCACACCATGGTTGTCACGTGTTTCGTCGGATGTCTCGAACCGACAAGCTGAACTCACTCATCAAGTTCATAGGGATATTTTATGCCGGTAAGACCACGTCTTTCCAGATCATTTTCAATCTTCAATCAAACGTTACTTTTTTATTTGAGTGGATTTTTTGGTTTCAAAATAGATTCAAAATTCGAAAAGGATCCGTTCAACTACTACCGAAAAGTCGAAATTGATCTTTTCTTGGCTTACCATTTTTTTAGGATGTGCTACGTACATATTCTGCTTTCATCAAAAATCGGTAGTGAAATTGAGCACGCTTTGGCTTGCACAGTGAATTGTTGGGCTACCACAGGCAGCCCAGGAGGGGGGGGGGGGCGAGTGAGAGCGGGGAGAGGGAAAATATCCTTCTAGACCAGTCTATCGAGAATCTGATGTTAGAGCAATGGAAGGCTTCTGGACTGATGAACTGGGCCGATTTCAATCCTCGTCTCTTGCATTGATGAACGGAGCCATGGTCACTGCCCCCCGGGTCGCGGCATACTTTTATATTATCTTGAGCAGGTAATAATTTTCTACAATACAGTTTTTCGGTGTCTTTTCGCGCGTTCACAGCCATAACTCTTACATTCCATTCTCTTATTGATAAGTATCAGGTTTTGTTCTTCTGTCGGAAGGAAGAAGTTCATCGTTGACTCCGAGAACAATTTTACCTCATTGATAACAATTGATTTTTTGTGGACCGAATGTCTTTTTGTATTCTAGTTGCTTGATCAAATTACGGAACGTGCTCGTCGACGATTCTCATATGCCGCTATGAAGATATTATCCAATCATCGTGGTTCAAGATCAGGCAGGTGTTTTGGTCAAGGCTGAAGTGCTGGAATAGTGAATTCCGAGTTAGGCTCGCTTTGCTTAAGAATATCTGGTTGGGGTCATATTTTCGTATGTCCAAGGATGCGAGCACAAATAGAAGGCCTCTATAGTGTGGGTCAGGGTTCGAGTTCTTTGCTGTGGTGGTGCAAATACACCGTAATCACCAGTGTCAGTGAGCACTTTTTTCTTCACAGGCGAACTCCGGGATTAACCCGACTAGTGGGAAGGATACCGTGAGGGGAATTATAAGGTCCGTACCCCTAGATCAGTTTCGCGCCCGCAACAAATTGGCGCGGTTAGGGGCGAATCGTTGACGGCGTGCAACATCGACCAGGTTCAACGCTTTCACCCACGTGGAGAGTGGGGTGAGATTAGCTGCATTTGCATGTATGAGATCAGTCGTGCATTCCTATACAAGCGTGCTCTCTCGCCTATGTTGTCTCATTTTGGATCAGCCTTGCGCGCCCATTCGTACCACGATGCCGCGCTTATTGAAGGTTGAAGGCGCCAATTGCCAGGTTTTATAGATTCTCTGGGCTTTCTCTCCACTTTCAGTTCGTCTGGAGGCAGAGCTATCTCTACACAAAGGCTCTTTAGGCAGCACGTTTGCATCCCGGGGTCTTACTTTCTGATGGTCTCGGCAAAGTCTCGTATATATCTGGGATGTTTATTTGCTTCCCAGAGCTGGCAGACGTTCTGTTATGGTCATACAGCTGAACATCAAGACATGCTGATTGCAATCGGATCCAAAGTAGTAGGCTCGGCGGGTAATGGAAGATTTGATCCACTGATTGAAACCAATATGCGTCTGTAGAGCCCCTTACCCTTCATGTGTGCGTCCCTTTCGATGTTCGCTATGGGACTCTGGGGACGAAAAGTCGCAATTTTGCTATGTTTGGCGCACAGCCCAAAAACTGAGCTAATATTTCGCCCGCTCGGATGCTCTTTTGCTCTTGAACTTGAAAATTCTACCTTTAAAAGATATTTGCGGATTATCTGATAGAAGTATTCTTGGTAAGGTATACGGGTACGCAGCCGTGGAGATTGAGCCCTTCATGATCGGAACTTGTGTGGCTATGGGCTCTTGGCGTCAGCCTGGGAACCTTTGTGCGGCTGTATCCGCTCCAGAATGAACTTTGATTGCAATGGTGATTGCGTATGGCTTTTTTCTTCGCTCTTCGCCTCTTCGACGTCTGCGCGCTCCCTCAGGCATTCAGTGCTTCTTCACCGTGAGCCTTACGCCTGGAGGGCTTCCAGGAGGAAGGGAAACATTTAGAGTATTTCAGTAATTTTTTTACTTTAACGGGCCCTTGGCACCAATATTGCTGTATTAGTCCACTAGGACTGATAGTCCATGTGCTGATAGGGTTGCCGGTGCCTTTAAGGCTCGCTATTTTATATAATGCTCAAGTATTTAGGAACTACTTAGCACAACGGATGACCGACGAAATGCACGAAATCATTCGTGTCCTTCAATTGACCACCTACGATGAAGATGAATGGGATGCAGACAACGTGACGGTGATGCGTAAGGCACTGTCGGCGGCGAAGTCCTCTTCTGACGGCCGCACTCGACTGGCTGGGCGATCCACGAGCCCGACCTGGAGCGGTTGGCGAGAAGGTAAACCCCATGGCATCCTTTGGCCGTTCTACATGGTATATTGGTCCATTTTCAGGCGATTCGTCGCATTCTTGACTATGCGGATCGCATCGGAGCTCGTGCGTTGCCTGAGGACAGTTATGCCATCAAACGTTCGATTTCTGAGATCGCCTCGTTGACGGACACCATCTGTGAGTTGAGAAATATGGGACGATACGATAACGAAGGACTTGCCATCAGCTGCGCGCAGAAACTCAAGGTGAGCTGGATCACTACCCGGTGGTAGAACTTGTCCAGGAGTCTGAGAATGTTGCAGGAGTTGGTTGGCACGAAACACAGCACCGGTATCCTCCCAGATGCCCTGATGAACGCTCATCGCGTCGGCGGAGCAAATCCAGCTCACACCGCGGGTGGCCGTCTGGAACAGGCGCTCAGGTATACTTTATGCTTTCTTCTAAACGATATCTGGAAGGAAAGGGAGGGGAACCGCACATGACTACTGTATTTTACAGTATCTTAATGCTACCGTAATTCGATTTTCTACTACGTGCCCTGTATTTTAATGCTACCGTAATCTGACAAGTTCACCAGTTTCTACTTGTGGAAATTTACGGCGCCCATGTCGTCGGGGGAGGGGGGGGGGAGGGGGAGGGGAGAGGGGATAAGACATTCAAGTGAGAGACCCACTAACAGTACTGGGTATTAAGGAATGAGCAGAAGGGATTTCTGGGAGAGGAATTGAGCAATTTTTGTTCTCTCCCTGGCGTCACTCCCCTCTCTAGGGCGTAGTCCTAGTGCAAATACCTGCGGCTTCTTAATGTCCTCTTTTGAATGTAACCCCCCCCCCCCAAGCACATGAGCGCAGAATTTATTACCCGCAAACGAGTAGCGAATCAAGAAGTAAAGAATTCGGGCAGCTGAAATATCTCCAATGAAACAGTAAATTAGCTGGGTATGACACCAGTGAGTTTGGTCAGGTTTACCCAGAACGATTCAGGTGGTTGGATAACCCTGGAGTTGACGACGGTGGTTTGGGACTTCGCGCTCTGAAGATGATGACGGACGATGCACGACGTCTAGCCGACAGACTGAACCCACAAGATCGGTACGGTTGTTTCTCGTCATCCATCAATAGCATTTTACTATGGATTTATGGATCAATTTCAGCGGTCACCTACTCGGCCTGTGTTCCGATATCGATCGATTAGCTAATCAATTAGCCGATTTGGAACGACGTGGCTTAGGTAACACGCCTGAGGCGAACGCCATTCGCCAACAGCTGAAGGACAAATTGCGGGAATTGTCTGACTTCATGCGGAAGATCCTCACTGATCGTGTGGTGAGTGGGAGATTCTGCAGACTGTTTTAGCCTTCAGGAGCCAATCCTATCCAGGAACGCCGAAATGGGGATGTTTATATTGCGCGGAAATTTTTCAGGTCGAAGACTTCGCCGACATCACAACTCCTCTCAAGCAGTTCGTCGAAGCCGTGCATGCTGAACCACATGCGCCTAATAGGGAAGGAAACTTTATTGATAAGGTAAAGACTTTAAAAGCTCACTGGTCAGCTAGAACACGACATAGTGGGGGTCCTTTGGCCGAGTTCGTGCCGGGTTAACTTGAGTCTCGGTTCATCCGGGAGGTCTCATTGGTGCATTATTTTTACCCATCAAAAACGCCTAAGAGAGCGTGTTGTAATTTTTGCGTATATGTAATAACAAAAAACTGCTGAAACTGAAGAAGCCTATGAAATTGAAAAGAGACATCTGAGCAAATAGTGGTTAACCCATAGGTGTGGTGGCTGCTGGACCTAAAGGCGCCAGTCATGTTCGAATATGTATTATGTTGCCCAAACGTTAGACAAAATAACACAGAAATCCTCCTTGTGAGGTTGATCGTTGTGCAACGGAGAGCAACAGCGTTACGAGGAGAGGGAAACGGGAGAGGCACGTTGGCGCGTAATGGCCTAGGGGATGTATGCTATGCAGCGATTGGTAAGAATAGCAGCGGCTGCAGCAGTTTAGTGAAGTGTTTAGTTCTTTTGTTGCGCAATTTCGGGTGCAACAATTACGCCTCCTCTGTGATTAGGAGGAGTCCCGCTACCACTCAAGGAGATAACTCCTCTAGGGATTCAATCGTGTCCCTTGCCTTTAAGTCACAGATCACGATAGATCCTTCGAAGAGTGTCTTCAATAGAATGATTATAAGCATGTGAGCCACTGTATAGTGTCCAAGGAGGAGGGAGCAGTGGAATTTGAGTTCCATATTACTAAGTTAAGTCCAAATTCGTGATTGCAGAGGATTTGGTGGGGGTGGGGGAGGAGAGGGAGAGAGATCGGTTAGCGTCCGTATATAAAGAGACAGCCGGGGATAGAAAAAGCAAGAAAATAGCGTAACACAGCCGAAATATTGGTTTGTCGTGTAACAGTCACTTACACCCTACCTCCTTCCTCTGTGAATAGCGCAACACTATTTTCCGCCTGCGCCGCCGCGATCTTCGGGGGGGGGTTTTTGCAGGAGCGCGCTTTTCCTTCATAATGCTTGGCTTCTCTCGCCTACTCCTTAAACGTCAGTCCTTTGATTCCCGAACAGTTGTGCTTCGTCTTTTCTGCTATTTCTATTCCAGCTAACATTGCTGAATTTCAGTCCGATCGACTACGACAACACGCCGGCAGCATGACAACCACGGCTGACTGACTGAGTGATTTTGTTCCTATCTAAGTATCGAACATTTGGTGCTTTTGTAGTCTTGGTGACTGTATTTCTTCATTAAAATCGCTTATTGATTTTTTATCCGTTGTTTAGGTTGCCACATGTGCATGCAAAGCAAGAACCACCGTCGAGGCTTATTGTGGACACTGCCTGAAAAGGTCACCGGTATCTTGTGAGCAGTTTTTCCTTCGATCGTTAACTGCTCTATCGACCATTTTTTTGGTTTGTCGAAGTGTTTTACTTCGCATAAAATATAATAGTTTTTCGTCTTCACCGCCCGACCATTTTTTCTGTTTCCGTTGTACTTATTGGAATAGTCAGTTCCTCCGCAACCCCGCCCGCAATGATCACGATCGAGCTGCGGGCGGGTGGGTTGCGCGTTTTGTCATCGGGGAAAGACTTTGGGTGAGTCGGCCGAACCACCCCAGACAAGAGAAACTCACAACGAACTTTGATGTCACAAACCTCGACATCTTTAAACAGTCGTGATCTCTGCCTTTAACTCCTAACACTGATATGCCCCACTGGAGACCCGTCGCGCAGCGAGAAGGCAAAATGCGAACTGATCAGCGGACGAGTCGCGTCGCGTACTGCAGTGATTTTCGTTTCAAAATTGGATCGAATGGTGCTGTAGTACGTCCCATATCACATAGCACGCGCTACAACTCGTTCGCTGAGCTGTCTGCGTCTCTGCCTCGTTGCCGCGCGACGGGCCTCTTCTCAGATACCCCTAAAACTGAGCGGTACTTTCGGGACTGTGAAGACTTTTGTTTCTTGTTCTGAGATCACACAATTCCCTTGATTAATCTCTTTCAGATCGACCAAATGACTCCGCAATTGGTGAACGCTGGAAAGATCCGTCTGCACAATCAAACAGACTCCGCCGAACAGCACTTTGAGAACCTGCATAGGTACTAATAAAGGCTCAAGTTGGTTGGTGATACGTATAGAAAGCAAATATTCATTCTTCTAGGCAATACGCCGACGCACTTCACCGTCTGCGGTCGCACTGTTGACGACGCCATTGACACTCATGAGTTCGTCAGGGCCAGTGAGACGGTAAGGACTTACGTGTGGACTTATTTAGCACCCCTGAAAATCCTGATATTGCACAGTAAAGTGCAAGAGGCTGATTGTAGTAGGGTGGAGCCATCAGGTTTTTCAAGCGGACTTATACCTCAATGCGATTGGGTTCTTACACCTTTCACCAAAGGTTCAAACGGCCGACGACACTCTTCCGAAAAAAGGGTCATGTTTGCGATATCGAAAGGGAGAGGGTCGGCATTGCGGAAACCTCTTGGTAAGATGCAAATGGCGGTGGGGCGCATCGAGGCTTCCTATAAAGTTAAGGGAATTGTGAAGTTTTTGAAAAAGTGCGAACGCGATAGTTCATCTTGTCTTTACCCCGATATCCAGGAAGAGGGTAGTAGCCTGGCAGGAAAAGGTTCCATTGATATGGACGGGCGGCGACTGACTACTGGTTGATCAGCTGTTTTTCTTACTCTTCTTCTTGATCGAAATCGTGAAGCTATGTTAAGAGCCAAGAAGTAAGCTTGAAAGCAATCCACCAGCCCGCTAACAGACTTCAAACCCCGTGACGCTATTTTGCCCTGACCTGCTTCCACCACTCGTTATGGAAGACCTTTACCTTTATGTCTCCTTGTTCCTCCGGTTAAATAAGCAGCATTGGTAGGTGAGAGGAAACTATGCTTCCCCTTCTTATTTTTATTCCCACACTCACCTTGGGTTCTGATTTCTCTACCTTTTGGCCTTGCCAGAAACAAGCTACCTTACCCTAAGCCTTGATAAAGGATCACCAAGAAATCTTATTAGTCAGGAACCGTCAAATCTGAATGGTTCTCGGCGCTCCTTTCCCTTGCGTTGTATTGCGTCCCAGACTCACCAGGTTGCGCTACGAGGGTGCCTACTTATTGCCTTATGCATCAAATGCCCTCCCTGGGGTGGAGGTAGAAAGTCGGTGTGTCAAGGGTCAGCGCTTCAACGCTTCCCAGTCATGTTGACTGCAGCTACAGGGCGGTTAAGACAACACGAGGGCAGGGTTTTATTCAAGGTACCGTCAGCGTTTTTGGTCAAGTTTGTCCCGCAAACTATTCAAGGTATATCTTTCAAGGCTATGCGTCGTTACACCAACCGATGTGAAGATGCGATCTCAAACAACTATCCACAAGGAATGGTCGACAACACTTCACAGGTAACCGGCGCTATTTTGTTTATGTGTCTCAAAAGTCTCGCATCAATCAATAACACCTGATCAATATCATATTTTAGCACTGACAATAACGGCTGTAGAGAAGATTTCTGCTGTTAAGCATTAAAACCTGCTACAGTTTGTAGGGAGCCTTGCTACAGATTCAAAGCAAAGTTGTTCAGTGGGCGGAGCTTTCCGCAGTGGGCGGGGTTGCAGATCCTTTCATGTGAAATTGTTCAACGACCAGGGTTTCTCGCAGTAGCGGGACTTCCATCAGTTTGAATTTTTTTATGAGGGTCGAACAAACCACGTTATGTCGTTTTTAACCCACAACTTTTCCAGTTCAATTGAGAACTTAATTTTCTACATCTATGAAGTCTGAATTTGATTAAATATTCCGGTTGATTGTAAAAATTTTGAAATGTCATTGAGAACCCATTTTTCAGATCGCTCGTCTCGGTAATCGTGTGCTGATGACGGCACAGAACGAGGCCGACAACTCGGAGGAGCCGGCATACTGCGATCGAGTAAACACTGCAGCAAACCAAGTGCGCTCCGGTAAGTTTCAGATTCTTCCATGCGATCTGCGACTGCGCTTCCTCCCACTCACTGCGCCCGCCTCTGCATGGGATTTCCACCCGACCTGGGCCGCGTCGCCCCGTGCCACAGCAACATGCCATCGTCAGCCCAATTGCCACCACGATTCCCACGTCGATGTGACTCGCACAACAGTGACTATGAGTTCCGGCCAATTGTTTCTGCCGAATGCGATTTGCATCGAGAACGCGTCAACTGATCCACGGGTCTATATTTGTGAGTAATTTGAGTGTAATGTCGTAGGGAAATAGGTCGAAATTATTTGAAGAAAAAAGCAATTCATGGAATTTTTATTTTCACCCTTGTCCTGATGGGCCAAAAATCCATGAATACCTCCCTAAAGTAGTAAGGAGATCTTACCGCTCACTCCGTCTCGCGATCTCGCTGTAACCAGTTTTTCTTCTCACTTACCGCCCATTAATGTTCTGTTTCTTATATTCATAAATCTAAAGGGTAGAGTTATCTGACATTTATCAATCCTTTCTAGATGCGCCATGCATTCTTCTCACAAGGGAGGTCTTTCAGGGCAAGGTGCGCTTTTTGGAAACGGTTTAGTGCATATTGTAGGGACGCATGTATGGACCACAAAACCATGTTTCGTTTTCGCTGAACGGTTTTAGTAGTACCAAAAAAGTGGTGAATAATACTCTTGATGGTTCGATCCCCCGCGGCGACTAAATTTTGCAATCAAGGTTGGCGGCCACTTGTTGGCTTCAAAATGGTCCTGACGATGAATTTGACATCTGATTTTGATATTTAGCGCGATTTGGCACCAAACCGTAGGCGCCAACCCAAATGCAAAATTTAGTCGCCACGGGGGATCGAACCCTTAACAGTACCTTATGCTTCTTTTTTGGTACTGCTATAACCGTTCAGCGAAAATGAAACATGGTTTCGTGCAAGAAACCATTTTGAAAAAGCGCTCCTTGCCCTCAAAGACCTCCCTTGACAGAGTCATAGCGTTGTTTGGACATGGCTAAATGACAAAAATCTTTGGTCGCAGGTCGAGATTTATTCAGTGAATTTATCCCGCTCAGATCGGCCACGCATTACCGACTAATTGAGAAGGTGGAGTAGGCTTGAGCTGTCCTGAACGTGCTATCGAACCAGGATGATGCCCGAAATCCTGCGCTTTGTTTTACGGCTGTCACACTACACCATTTCTGTACTCTGGTACTCGCAAAGTATTAGTTATAGAATGAAAAAAAGTAATTCTGCAGAAAATATTCGTAAGTGAAGAAATTTGGATTGGTCCTGGGGGTAGGGTACCGTTTAGAGAACTTCCCAAAAGGAGATGTGAGGATGATAGTTTTGTTTGTTAACTGCTGTTTTTGCTAGTCCCGCCTGGAGCAAAAGTTTTGTTCACAATTCAGCATTCTTGTGAGAATTGATTCAAAAAATTAAACCAACAACTTAGGAAATTCAACAAATAGAAAGAAATAAAAAATGTGTTTGAAAACTCTCTAAAATGGTGTACATCAAGATATTAATTTAGTTTGCTGGCATTTACTTTGGATGCTTGGAATGACTGATCGAAAGGATGAAGGGGAAGTTGAAGCTCTAATCAATCAAGTCCTTCTGATTCTGATCACCGGTTGCCCTGACGTTTACGTTCATCCAGTCACCCAAGCGCTGTTTCTCGCCTTTATGGGGAGCTGCTGTCTAGAAAAGTGTTGCAAACCCAAAAAATGGTAGAAACAGTATTGTAGGCACAATCCAATCATGTCCGCGATTTCGGACGACGTGTACGGCACGGCTCATCCGAGCTATTATTATCCATCAAACTTGAGACTCTTTCTATGGTTAAACAAGTTCAATATTGAACTGCTTTGCATATTGTCAATGACTTCCACCATTATTATTATTTTGTTTTCTAAAAATTCATTCCAGAATATTTCACCAGTTATTGAAAATTTCATAGAATTTTTCTTTATTTCACCGGTAAATGGCCAATAAACTAGGGAGATGGTCGTCCCAGAATATGGCATTCCCTTTACGCGCATCTATCTATTCCGTCGCTCAGCAGTCCTACCTCACCATACACCGTTTGGATACCGTATCTTGGAATATTCAAGCGATTACATTACTATTACTTAGCTGACACAGCTTTTCTGGACCCATCGATTTCAGCTATCCCACCGATGGTCACACAAGCCAAGCAGGTGGCAATCAGTCCACGTGATACTGGTGCGGCAAATGCATGGCGTACTGCCAACGATCGTCTACTCGACTCGGTGCGAGCTGTGGGAGATGCCATCGCTGGAATACAGAACGGACGGCATTCGGCCATGTATCAGGACAGCCTGAACCGCGCTTCACCGTATCCACAGGTAGTTTCTATTCTCGCAGAATATGAAGCGTTGGCAAGGTGCCAAGGTCACAACTCCTTTTCAGCAAAGCACTCAAGTGTTGCGTACCGTACCACCTCAACCGCCTACCCCACCCATTATCCACAACAAGATGATCATCCGTGAAGAGATTCCGGCACCTCCGAGGCCACCGCCACCGGTCGAGATCAGTCCTCCGCCACGGCCACCACCACCGCCCGAGTACGACGAGGAGGAAGAGACGAGAGCTTTCTGGGAAAGGTAAGCCATTTCTCAGACCCACTCGGGTTTCCCTGATGATCTGACGATTTTCAGATATCCTCTACCTCAAGCCAGTCATCAACCGATCCTTTCCGCTGCCCACTCACTGCACAACGTATGTCGATGTGTTTTTAGCCTTTTTATTGTTGTGTTCGGTTCTTCATGAGAAGTGTTGATGTTATGTCGATAGCACGCTGACAGCTGATCCCAGCTCCCAGTCGCCCACGCTGTGGGAGTATTTGCCACTAATGGCCTCCTTAGCCAACTAACTCATACCATATTCCAGGAGCTCAAACAATGGTCAAGTCAAGAGAACGAAATCGTAGCCGCGGCTAAACGTATGGCTATTTCTGATGGCTCGTCTATCACAACTTGTACGCGGTGAAGGTGGAACAAAGAAGGTGCGAGCTGTTTAGTGCTAATGGACAACTGGTACAAATTAGGCTTCTGTAACAAATGGTTCTATTGGTGCCAGGGAACATTTTTGCCGTATTGTCGTAGAAACAGAGAAAAAAAACACCGCCATCGAAATATTGCAATAGTTAAATTTATCGTGTGTGAAAGGAAATTAATTATGGGGGGGGGGCAATAATCGAAAATAATCTTTTTTGGACAAATATGAATGCTTTAAAAAATAAAAAATAACACTAAATAATAAATATGGTAGCTAATATTTGTTTTTGTTTACCTGTTACTTTGAATGTTTGCTATTAGTTCCTTGCCTCGGTGTTAGAACAAGGGGTCAAGGGTCGGCGGTCGGTCGACTTTGGTAAGGTACCCGGAAATCGGGTTACGACTAGCATCCGGAAATTAGAATGGATGAAAATAGAAATTTCGGTCCAGCGCTAAATCAAAGGGAATTCCACGACAGGGTCGGGGGTCAAAGAAGGCAGAATGCGTACCTGAAAAAGCGGCCTCCTGAGGCGCGG